GGCACCTGGGGACATGGGGCAGTGGTGGCCTTGGCAGGGCCATGTTGGACTTTGTGATCTTGGAGGACTTTTCCAACCTTCAAGATTCTGTGAAATTATGAGGGACAGGAATCTCCTGAAAACCAGTTTGGGGCGTTTGAAGAAGGGCTTAGTTGGTTTTGTTTTGCCTTTTTGTTTGTTTGGGGTTTTTATCTGTGTTCCTTTATTCATGTCACTTCCCAGCCCCAAATCTTCGTGTCAGCCCCAGAATCCCTCCCCTAATGATTGTGACAGGTAGTGGAGTCAAGATTTTTACTGCTGCAGGATTAGAGAAGAAACATTTCCTTGCGTGGAGCTCAGCTGAGTCGTTGTCATCCCTGACAGCATTTTGGGAACACTCAGTGAAGCTGCTTCCCTGTTTTTTACTCCTTCAAGGGAAGTAAAATGAGTGGAGATGGGGAGAAGGAAAAGCACAAACAACACTGAAATTGTTGTTTTAAGAGGCAAAAAAACCCTCTCAATTTGAGCTGCCTGGGTTTCACCACGGCTTTGTCACTTCGAACCACGGTTCTGCTCTGAGGAGTGAATTTGAAGTGGAAAAAAAATCAGTTTTAGGCGTTTTCCCCTCTCTGTTTAGACTGCAGTGTTCGAATTTAATGACACAAACACATTTTGATGCCTTTTTACTCTTGAGGGAAACAAATCCCTCTGGGAACAGGGAACTGCAGGCTCCTGGTTTCCCAGTCCTGCTTGGGGTGGGAGGGAGCAGCTCCAAAGTTCTCCATCCTCCAAAGGTCCCGTTCCCAAAGTGGGTGAAGGCATCACCTCTGGGCTGGGGTAACAGCTTGGGGTAAACTGGGACCTCGGAGGTTGCCCAGGGAGGCAAATTCCTGGGAAAACTTGGAATGCTCAGTGATTTTTAGGGAAAAATTGGGATTTGCACCTTTGGACAGTGAGGGTGGTGCATTGGTGGCAGTTGGGTGGTGGAAATCCCAAACCTGGGAATGGTTTAATGGAGCTGCTCCTGGTGCTGCGGAGGAGATTTCCAGTCCCTGGGTCCGTCCTGAAACTTCCAGCATTCCCAGAAAAATCCTTTGGAAGTGCTGACTCTGATTTAGTGGCACATCATGAGTCAAAGATGTTTTGCATGAACATTTGGGGCTGAGCAAGCAGAAAGTAAATCCTGATCCATTTTGTTACTTCCTTAACTTTGCCTTTTGCATTGGGAATTGATCCATAATTGATTTCTGCTCCCCCTTGGGTGTTTTAAATCTCTTGATGGTTATTCCCTGATTTTTTCCTGGGACACTGTGCCATTCCTGAGCTTATCCCTTGCTTTCCTGAGGAAATTTTTGTTGTTTTAGTGAGTTCTGTGTTTTTTCTCCAGACCTTTGCTTGATATTCCACATCTTCCTGAGGTTTCACCCCTCAAAGAGGGACCCTTTCCTTGGATTTCAATCCAAAGGAATTGTGGAAGCTTTAGATGGACGGAATGGGAAATTCCTACTCTGATTGTTTTCTGGTTTGTGGAAGAAAAATGAATTTTTTAGTTCACTGGGGATTCAGAGCAGTGCTGGGACATGGAGCACTGGAGAGCACTGGATCACCTCCACATTCCCAGTTACTTCCATGGAATCCTGGAATGGGTTGGAAGGGATGTTAAAAACCATCTTATTCCAAGGCACCCCTGCCATGGCAGGGACACCTCCCACTGTCCCAGGGTGCCCCAGTGTCCAGCCTGGCCTTGGGCACTGCCAGGGATCCAGGGGCAGCCACAGCTGCTCTGGCAATTCCAGCCCAGCCAGGAATTCCCAATTCCCAATCTCCCACCCATCCCTGCCCTCTGGCACTGGGAGCCATTCCCTGGCTCCTGTCCCTCCATCCCTTGTCCCCAGTCCCTCTCCAGCTCTCCTGGAGCCCCTTCAGGCCCTGCCAGGGGCTCTGAGCTCTGCCTGGATCCTTCCCTTTCCCAGGGGAACATTCCCAATTATCCTGTTTCCCTAGCAGAGCTGCATTTTTGAACAATTTTGGCTCCTGGGAGGTAACTCCTGCCCAGAATTCCTGGAATTGCCTCATCCTTGGATCCAATTCCCTTTTTCCCAGCTCTCCCAGTGCCCATCCTTCCTGCTGTTCAGCTCTTTCCTGTGGAACGGCTCCTAAATCCTGCGGGTTTAATTAAATTCCAGCTGTTTTTTTTTCCCCCTAAAATGTGAGGATTTGATCAATTCCTGAACCTGGATGGCAACAACAGCAACTTCTTCTGTCCCTGGGGAAAAAAAACCAAAACCAATAGATTTAGACAGGTCCACAAGGGAAATAAGAGTCTGGATTTGGATTTTATGGAGTTCTCATCCCCGGGCTTGATTTTGTGCTGCTTTAGAAGCTGAAAATGACAAAATGTGTTGTATTTATTTGCCTTTAATGAATTCCTTGGGATTCCCAGGCATTGAAGTTATGAGGGTGTGTTTGTGGTTCCAGGGGTGTGACATGGAATTGTAGCACTGGGTATCCTGCATGAAAAGGAATAATTAGGAATTCCAATGGAGTTTTGTCTGCTTCTTTCTGCCCTTAAATTATTTATTATTTATTCACCTTTATTATGAAGGTGAATTTTAAAAAAATTAATTAAATTTGCTGAATAAAAAAACAGGGAGAATTAAAAAAATATCCAAAATTTGGAGCTGTTCAGATAATTTCCTCAACTTCCTGGGATAATTTAGGTAGGTGCCAGTCCAGAGTTTCCCACCCGGAAGGTTCAAATAATCCTGTGAAAAATTCAGTGAAATTCCTGACCTCAACTCCCAGTTAATGCTGAAAAAGGCATTTTCCAGCTGTGCAGGATGGAAAATCCATCATTCTTCAGTGGGATATTGATAGAAAAAATGTTTATGGATTATTCAGGATTAAAGTGTTAATTTTTTTGAAGCAAGGAAACATCTGAAAGTTCTAAGGAAAAACATTGGAATCAAAGTAATGCAAATTAATCAAAGATTAATTGCTGCAATCAATCATTGGCCATGTTATTCCAAATTTTTTTGGGAAAGAATTTGTGGGTATTTCCCTAAATCCTGCTTTTTCATAAAAAAAAGACTGATCAAACTGAGCAGGATAAAGGAATTTTTTCAATTTATTATTTTTAACCATTTTTAACTGAAGTTTTACCAATTTACATAAGAATGAAATATTTTTTTTCCTCGGGATACACTCATTAAAACCCTTTTAAATTATTCTGCAATTCCTTAAAATCCCTTTATTTTCTCCAGTAGCATTTGGACTTTCAGCCTTGAAGTGTAAGCAAAGTTTCCTCTGCAATTCCAAAGCCCAATCCCAAATTTTTGGGATTCAGTCCTCTAGGATATCTGCCTGATTTTTCCAGAGTTTGGATGCCAATGTGTAAAATCTGAATTCAAATGTGAAGGAATGGATTTTTTAAGTTGATTTTATTTAATTGATTTTATTTATTTTTGGAGGGATCCCCAGATTCCAGTTTCAGGATTACTCTGGAATCTTTGAGAATAAAGTGAAAAAAAACCACTGAAACTTTTCCGTAGGAGTTGTAACTTTGTGAGTTTGCTGCTGATTTTTTCCTGTAATTTTCCAAAGCTTTCCTCTTCTGGAAAATAAAAGGAAATCTCTGTTTCCCAATGTGTTACAAAAGAGCAATTTCCTTGGGATCCTTGGCACGGAATCTGGATGCTCATGTCCTGCCTGTTCACAGCTCCTGTCACTGCTGGCTTTTCCTTGGGTCAGGAAAAAAATTGTGTTTCCCTGGAAAAAAGGAAGTGTTGGGATGTGCGATCCCAAGGACGTGAGTTGGCCCATAAAGGCAATTTATCCTCTGGAAGTGGGAGGCCATTCCCTGTGATCATGGAATCACAGAATCCCGGAATGGTTTGGGTTGGAAGGGGCCTTTAATCCCATCCTATTGCAACCCCTATCCCATTCCATCTCCCACCATCCCAGGCTGCTCCAAGCCCCAATGCCCAGCCTGGCCTTGGGCACTGCCAGGGATCCAGGGACAGCCCCAGCTGCTCTGGCAATTCCAGCCCAGCCCTTCCCCGCCCTCCCAACCAGGAATTTCTTCCCAATATCCAACCTAAATCTCCCCTTTTCCAACTTAAAGCCATTCCCTGTGTCCTGTCCTTCCATCCCTTGTCCCAGGTCCCTCTCAAGCTCTTCTGGAGAACTGGGGCTTGGAACACCCTGGCACAGTGGGAGATGTCCCTGGGCTGGAATTGGATGGGATTTAAGGTCCCTTCCCACCCAAACTATTCCATGATTCTGTGATTACAAAAATAAGAAAACCATCAGAAAAAAAAAAGGAAATATGAATTAATTTCTCCTCCCAGACCCAGCACAGGCAGCCTCAAATCCCATGGATCAGAAATCCCTGGGAATGTTCAAGGCCTGGAGCAACCTGGGATAGTGGGAGGTGTCCCTGCCATGGCAGGGCCTGGAACAGGATCCTTAAACTCCCCCAACCCAAACCATTCCATGATCACATGAAATGCAGCTCCTCAGGGACTCCTGGATGAAATGTTTGTTCCGTTGAATTTCTTGGGAATTTCCCTGAGTCACCCAAGGTGAAATCCCCGTGCCACCCACACAAATCTTGTGGTTTGATGCTGAGTTTCAGACTGTGCACATCTTCCAGACCTAAAGTTATCCTGGGTTTTGGTGTTGAGGTTTAGGCTGTACCCGCTTTCCAGGCTTAAGGGTAATCCTGGATTTTGGTGCCCTGTTTCAGACTCTGCCCATTTTCCAGACCTAAAGTTATCCTGGATTTTGGTGCTGAGTTTCAGACTGTGCCCATTTTCCAGACCTAAAGTAATCCTGGATTTTAGTGCTGATGTTTAGACTGTACCCATTTTCCAGACCTGAAGTAATCCTGGATTTCGGTGCTGATGTTTAGACTGTACCCATTTTCCAGACCTGAAGTAATCCTGGATTTCGGTGCTGAGTTTTAGACTGCGCCCATTTTCCAGACCTAAAGGTAATCCTGGTTTTTGGTGCTTGCTCAGATCAGGTGGACCAAAACAGCAGGAAGTGCCTCTGACAGATTCCAAGATTCCAGTGTCTTCAACGAAACCCTGAGGATTTCCAACATCCAGAGACACCAGGGAGGCCGCTACTACTGCAAGGCTGAGAACGGCCTGGGCTCCCCGGCCATCAAATCCATCCGAGTGGACGTGTACTGTGAGTAAATCCTTGGAATTCTGCCTTTGCTCCTTTAGAAATGCCTTAAAATATCTGTTGTTCCCAAGAAACGTTCAGCTCCTCGGGAATCCCGATTTTAATGGCGGATGCTGCGGATTCGCGGAGTTTTTACAGTTGGAAAAGTGTGAAGGGTTGGGATTGCAGGGAAAAATGTGAGGGATTTGGATTGTGGTGAGGGATGTGAAGGACTGGAATTGCAGGGAAAAGTGTGAAGGATTGGAATTACAGGAAAAAATGTGAAGGATTTGGATTGTGGTGAAAAATGTGATGGATTTGGATTGCAAGGGAAAGGTGAAGGATTGGGATTGGGTGAAAAATGTGATGGATTGGGATTGTGGTGAAGGATGTGAAGGATTGGGATTGTAGGGAAAAATGTGATGGATTTGGATTGCAAGGGAAATGTGAGGGATTGGGATGTAGTGAAAAATATGAAGGGCTGGGATTGCAGGGAAAAATGTGGATAGTTGGGATTGTGGTGAGGCATGTGAAGAGTTGGGATTGCAGGGAAAAATGTGGATGATTGGGATGGCAGGAAAAAAATGTGAAGGATTTGGATTGGAGTGAAAATATGAAGGTTGGGATTGCAGTTAAAAATGTGATGGATTTGGATTGCAAGGGAAATATGAAGGATTGGTATTGGAGTAAAAAATATGAAAGATTGGGATTGTGGTGAAGGATGTGAAGGATTGGGATTGGAGTGAAAAATGTGAAGGGTTGGGATTGCAGGGAAAAATGTGGATGATTTGGATTGTGGTGAGGGATGTGAAGGCAGGGAAAACTGTGAGGGATTAGGATTACAGGAAAAAAATGTGAAGGATTTGGATTGGAGTGAAAATATGAAGGTCGGGATCGCAGTGAAAAATGTGAAGGATTGGGATAGTGGTGAAAAATGTGATGGATTTGGATTGCAAGGGAATTGTGAAGGATTGGGATTGTAGTGAAAAATATGAAAGATTGGGATTGGAGTGAAAAATGTGAAGGATTTGGATTGGAGTGAAAAATATGAAGGGTTGGGATTGGAATGAAAAATGTGGAGGAATTGCATTGGAGTGAAAAATATGAAGGATTTGGATTTCAGTGAAAAATGTGAAGGGTTGGGATTATGGCAAAAATATGAAGGATTAGGATTGTGGTGAGGGGTGTGAAGGACTGGGACAGTGGTACAAAATATGAAGGATTTGGATTTCAGTGAAAAATCTGAAGGATGTAGACTGCAAGGAAAAATATGAAGGATTGGGAATGAAGGAAAAGTATGATGGATGGGGATTGTGGTGAAAAATAAGAAATATTTGGATTTCAATGAAAAATGTGAAGGATTGGGATCGCAGTGAAAAATAGGAAAGGTTGGGATTGCAATGAGAAACACAAAGGATTGGAATTGCAGGAGAAAATGTGAAGGATTTGGATTCTGGTGAAGAATGTAAAGGATTTGGATTGTGGGGAAAAATACGAAATATTTGGATTGTGGTGAAGAATGTGAAGGGTTGGGGTCGGAGTGAAAATGTAAAGGATGTGGATTGCAGTGAAAAGTCTGAAGGATGTGGATTGCAGGGAAAAATGTGAATGATTGAGAATGCAGGGAAAAGTGTGAAGGATTTGGATTGCAGGGAAAAATAAGAAATACTCAAATTTCAGTGAAAATGTGAAGGATTGGGTTGCAGGAAAAAAACAGGAAAGATTGGGAATGTGGTGAGGAATACAAAGGATTGGGATTGCTTCAGGCCCTGCCAGGGGCTCTGGGGTCTCCCTGGAGCCTTCTCCTCTCCAGGTGAATGTTCCCAGCTCTGCCAGCAGAGCTGCTCCATCCCTTGGATCATCCTGGAGTCTTCTCTGGACTCTGGACTGTGAAATTTGTTTTGGATTGACTCCCAGAATCCCAAAATGGTTTGGGTCAGAAGGGACCTTAAATCCCATCTCATTCCAGACCCTTCCATGGGCATGGACACCTCCCACTGTCCCAGGGTGCCCCAATGTCCAGCCTGGCCTTGGGCACTGCCAGGGATCCAGGGGCAGCCACAGCTGCTCTGGCAATCCCAGCCCAGCCAGGAATTCCCCATTCCCAATCTCCCACCCATCCCTGCCCTCTGGCACTGGCAGCCATTCCCTGGCTCCTGTCCCTCCATCCCTTGTCCCCAGTCCCTCTCCAGCTCTCCTGGAGCCCCTTCAGGCCCTGCCAGGGGCTCTGAGCTCTCCCTGGAGCCTTTTCCATGTAAACAATCCCAATTCTCCCAAGCTTTCATCAAAGCACAAGTGCTCGAACCCTTGGATCATCTCCACCACCCGCTCTGCACTCCCTTGTTTATTATAAATGAAGAAATAATCAACTGTTTCTTTTTTTCTCTATTCAAATATGTTTATTCTCCTTTTAGACCATTTAAGATCCAGAATAAGGCAGGGAGTGAGCAGTGGGGTCTCTCCAGGAGCCCCTCCTTGTTATTTACACTCAATTAATTCCGAATTTCCCTTTTAACAGGGATTTATTTAAACCTTTTAAGGAGCCTCTGGAAAAATTTCTCTAAGTAGAGATGGATGTGCTCTAAAACCAGACTTTCCTAACCCAGTTTGTTGTTCATTAATTCCACAAAATTAAGTTTCTGTCATTTAAGAAGTGGAGGAACGAGCATTAATTAGGTTTGGGATTATGAAACCAATAATTACTGACTTAAGATGTTAATACTCCCAATTTGTAACAATTATTCCACGGCGAGCACGTCAGGTGGCCTTTGGCATCAACGCCTGCTTTTCCTGGCTTGGGAAATCCATTTTTTCTGCTTTGTTTGTGGAAAAATGATGCAGGTACAGGGGGAATGAATAACTCAGAGTAACCGTTAAAAACCCTCAGTCCCTGCAGTGTCAGAGAGGGGTTCAATCTTGTTTATTCCACATTTTCCTGGTGGGTGCTCCTGGTCCAGATGGATTTTCCAGCACGGTGGGGATCCAGAGTGAACTCTGGAACAGCCTGAGGGAAGTGGGATTAAAAATGCTTTCAGTGACTCCACGCCTTGATTCGAGTGTGCTTGATTTAATGATAATCACCTGGAATTTTTTAATCAGCTCTGATTGCATTTTTCCACGGAATTTCATCTTGGAATTGACCACACCACAGGTTTAGTTTGATCTCTTTTATCTCACAGCTCTGACTGCTTTTTAGGGTCTATTTTTTCCTTTGCTGCTCTATTAAAAATCAATTTAATGACTTTTTTTCTTCCCTAAAAACCATCTGATCATGGAGCTTTGAGGAATCCTCTCTCTGCCCAAGTTTTTCTGTTCAGCTGCTTCATTTTCTAAAAAAAAAAAAAAAATCAGTCTGGTTCTTCCCCAAACTGAATTGGGTTTCCTTCCATTTCCAGCTATTTTTATTTCTTTTATTTATATTCCCTGGAGCCAAAAGAGCTCTTCTGTACTGATTTCCCTCATGAGGTGCTTGCAGCCAATAATATTCTATGTATTATAAATATAATTTAAATTATTTATTATTAATTTTAAATATGATTTATTTTTATTTTAAATTTACTTTTAACTAAATTTAAACTTATTTTTTATTTTTTAAATTTTGTTTTAATTTTTTTTTAAATTTTATTCAAAAGTATAATTATTAAATATTCTTTTTGGAGAAATTAAATGTTTTGTTGTTGTTACATCTTCTCCAGCAAACTCAGATCCTGAGTTGATTTTTGCAGTGTGGAAGAGTTCCTGTTGGACTTTTCTTTGCCCTTTAATTAATTCTTTTTCCTTGCCCTTTAATTGATTCATTTTTGTTGCCTTGTCATTATTTAATGTTGCTTAAAAACACAAGACCAGGTTAGGATCCTGTACTCCAGTCACTGATTCTGAGTGTGGGAGTAAATGAAATCCTTCCTGCACATTGATCCCAGAAATTCCCAATATTCCAGGATTTTTCCAATGTTTCAGGCCAAGCCTGGGGCAGTTTCTGGCCATTCCCTGGTGCTGGAACCTCTGCTGGGAATTCATGGATGTGCCTCGTTCTGTGTGAGCTCCGGGCTCCTGGTGATTGGGAGAATCCATTGATAGGGAAAATCCACTGATCCTTTTCCATCTGTGCATATGCCCAAAAAATCATGGAATGATTTGGGTTGGAATGGGACTTAAATCCCACCCAGAGCCACCCCTGCCATGGCAGGGACACCTCCCACTGTCCCAGGGTGCCCCAGTGTCCAGCCTGGCCTTGGGCACTGCCAGGGATCCAGGGGCAGCCCCAGCTGCTCTGGCAATTCCAGCCCAGCCAGGAATTCCCAATTCCCAATCTCCCACCCATCCCTGCCCTCTGGCACTGGCAGCCATTCCCTGGCTCCTGTCCCTCCATCCCTTGTCCCCAGTCCCTCTCCAGCTCTCCTGGAGCCCCTTCAGGCCCTGCCAGGGGCTCTGAGCTCTGCCTGGAGCCTTCTCCTCTCCAGGGGAGCATTCCCAGCTCTCCCAGCCTGGCTCCAGAGGGGCTCCAACCCTGGAGCAGCTCCATGGATTCCTCTGGATCTTGGGGCAGAGGGGCAGAATTCCCCACTGAGGGATCAGCCCAGGACACAATTCCAGGTCATGTCCAGCCTCCAATCCCCCAAGATTTCCAATCCTTCTCCTCAGGGCTCCTCCCATCCCTATGGAAGTTGAGCATCACTGTGGATGTTGTTTGTCCTGTTGGTGCTGAAACCCTGCCTGCTCCCTGGTGATTCCAGTGCTAATCCAGCCTCAGAAATGATGGGAATTGGCTCTGTTTGGTGTCCTTGGAGCAGGAAAACCCTCCTGGAGTGCTGCCCCACCTGTGCCCTCCCCCTGGTGTCCCCGGGACATGCTCCTATTTCCAACCAGGTGTACTTATAACCTCATTAAAAGAGGGGAGAAAACACCTTCTCCATAAAATCCCATCCCTGAGAGCTCATTATATTTTTCCTTTTGGAATTCTGTTGTAGCCTGAACCCTCGGGAAAGCATCACAGGCTGGAGCTGTGTGGGGCTTGTTGACACTGA